ACAAAACTCACTTAACAAATGTTTCACTTAACAACATCAATTTTGGGCTCAGTTGTGGTTGTAAATCAAGGACTCTTTGTAGCCGGGTTAGAGCTAACTCTGATTGCTTTAATCCTGATACTAGAATGCATGATTGCCAGATATTGTCAGATTACAATTCCTGGTTGGTCTGCACTAAAGCAGCCAATAGTGCAAGGTTTTTGAAGGTGAAATCCAGCACAAGTTCAGAATTAGTTTAGCACTTTGTACATGCACGGTCTTTTGGTTTAATCTGTTTGCAGCCAGCAATTTTTCAACATCTCTTTTACTCATTTTATGAAGGTTTGGTGGATGGAAACATGCCGTCATGTTGAACGTGTTTAGTCATTGTTCATGAATAGTACCATTCAAGTTGCTAATGGAATTCGTTTTTAGTTACAGGCCAATAGTAGATTACATTGACACGCAGTTTGAAAATTATTTACAAGAAGAGCTAAAAATCCGGCGTTCCCTTTTTAACTATCACGATACGAGAATCCACGTCTGCCTTTATTTTATCACCCCAACTGGCCATTCATTGAAGTCCTTGGATCTGGTGACCATGAAAAAGCTGGATAGCAAAGTAAGTATCTCCACATCATCACAAGTATTGGCTCTCTTTTTTTGTCTACCTGTCTTCCTTCTTACTTATTATCAATCTTAATGATGCGTTTGATCGGGAGTTTTCCTTCAGTCGTCTGAAAGCATAAATGAATGCCAGATAATTTCAACAAAAACCCTAATCTTTCTCTTTATCAAAAGATCGTCTTTCTTACCTCCCCTCAGAAGAATTGCATAAACACACTCTACCCAGTTTCCACTTTATTGGAATCATTCTAACTAAAATGTTGGCTGTTTTTCCATTACTTTTCACAATTCAAAAATGATGATGCAGCTTCAGCATTACGAGATGCATCATACAGAGATGTGAACAAAAGAAAGTGAGGGTGATTCTATGTGGAGATGAGTCGTTATTGCTGTCCTTAGAACATTTCAACAGCTGGGTGGAAAACAGAGCACTGAATGAGTAGCAGAGCGATAAAGCCCGGGATTCACGTTCTATGAATTGCAGATGTTCTGATGTCGAAGCCAATAAGATATAAAACATTGCTTTGGTTACATCTGAAGCAGCAGCCATTTTTTTGATGTGGCACTCAATCATAGGGCCTCCTCAGAACACTGGCAATTGCCAATTGTTCCCATGCTGCCTATGTTCGGGGATCATAGCTGACAACTAGTCATTTGATTTACTACCTGGTGATCAAAGAGGAACAGCCGATCTTCTGAAGTTCACACTGTGGGGAGAACTGGAGGCACACTACAAAGGTAATTGATGCAAAGTGATTCATGTGCAGGAAAAAAAAAAGAATTACAATGCTCATCCCAGTGAGTGACCTTTTAAAAGGTAAAAGAAACAAACAAAAAACAGAGCTATTTCTAAATAGCAGCATCAGCATCTAATTTGCTAGGAAATGCTGATGAAGTTCCTCACCCGAGGATAGTGATGGCAAACTGTATGGCCTTGGCGGATCAAAAATTCAAATAACATGCCCACCTTGATTCTGCTGGCATGTCCCACACATGGACGCAACAAAAGAGAAACAACAACAAAGAGTAATAGTTTACCGTATTTTTTGGAGTATTAAGACGCAACAAGGTTTTAAAGAGGAAAATTTNTCCGGTTGTTGCTGTATCCCCAAAGGGTTCATTTAGTTATGGGATTTATTTGGAGATTAGGTCATCAAACACTCCCTCTTTCAGGTTTTATCCTTTCAATAATCCCGTAAAATAGTGGCAGCTGATTTAGACAGTGAGTAGGTTGGGGAGAAACATGGGCCAGTCCTGGAGTCTGGAGAAGGCTCTGATGAGAAGCCTCTGTGTCAGAGGCAGAGACTGGGCCAGAGCTGTGTGACAGTTATCAGCTGCCTTCAGAGTCAGACATCAGTGAGGCACACGAACAGCTGGAGCCTGTTCCCATTGTGCGCATGCGCAGAGTTGCCAGACCGAAGGGAACAGCTAAAGAACAGGGGCCGACTTGGGAGAAAGGCCACAGGTAGACAATGAATGGCCCCTCCCAGAGGAAATAAAAGAGAAGCAAAAGGGGAGTGGGGTTTGCAGGAGACAATTAGTTCGCTTAATTGTGACCCTCCAAGACTCCTTGCCAGTTTTGCAGATATTGCCCTGGCAGCTCTCCAAGCCAGATAAGGTCTGTGACTGTAAATCCCCCCTTGAAAGACTTTGCTGGATGTGAATGAGCAGAATTCACAGTAAATTAATAAAAGGGGTTTTTGTTAGTACAAGGAGTTTGTTTCATTCTGGGTCAGAACAAATAGGTTGGTCTGGGAGATTGACTTGCCCAAAGTCACTCTGTGAACTTCCAGGATTTCCAGTGGCTGCTTTATGCATGCAAATCTTCATTCACAAAGAAGATCATTGCTGTCTGAGTGGAAGGTGCACATAGGAAGAGGTTGCACAACAGGAAAAGTATTGACTGGTTGTAAAAGAGCCTTCCAGTTACTTCTGTGTAATCAATCTGTAAGGTAGTCCTCGACTTACAACATACAGTTCATTTAGTGAGAGTTCAAAGTTACAACAGCACTGGAAAAAAAGTGACTTATGACCATTTTTCACTGTTACGACCTTTGCAGCATCCCCATGATCATGTGATCAAGATTCAGATGCTGGTTCATATTTATGGCCTTTGCTGAGCCCCAAGGTCCTGCAACCCTCTCACAAGCAAAATCAATGGGGAAGCTGGGTTCCCTTATCAGCCGGGTTGCTAACATCAACTGCAATGATTCACTTAACAATTGCGGCAAGAAAAATCATAAAATGGGACAAAACTCACTTAACAAACGTTTCACTTAACAACATCAATTTTGGGCTCAGTTGTGGTTGTAAATCAAGGACTCTTTGTAGCCGGGTTAGAGCTAACTCTGATTGCTTTAATCCTGATATTAGAATGCATGATTGCCAGATATTGTTAAGTGAATCATTGCAGTTGATGTTAGCAACCCGGCT